AATAATAAACGCGCTGCTATTTTCTCGTACTATAGTTCCGTGCAGTAATTTTTATCATGGTTAATTAATATTATTTTCGTTTTCGCAAGTTTTACAAGATACATGGAGAGAATACTCTAAAAATATCAAGATCTATGATATTCATAAGTTTCGAGTCGATTATCGATGGATCACTCCTCGATAAAAAAATTTTTTTTCTGATAAATGTCCGCACTAAAGCCCGTATCAGACTACGGATTGAGATTGGGATTAGATTGAAGTTTGACCAATCGTAGTAAAGTTTACTAATTTCAAGTTTAGTAACTTTTACCCTAATTGGTCAAATTTCAATCTAATCTCAATTCGTAGTCTGATACGGGCTTAAACGTTAGTATTAAATCACGAAAAGCTTGAGGCAAGTACAAAATCGATTCCAGCGTAAATGATTTAAAATTCTCCAAATTATCAGTATCGGGCCCGGTTGTGCACCAACGTCGCTTAACTTTAATTTCAGCTTAATTGCACTCTTCGTCTCTTTCCAACTGTTTCCCTTAGAAAGAGACAAAGAGTGAATTAAGGTAAAGTTTAAAAATTACGTGACGTTGGTGCAACCGGGCCTTAGTGTTTTCAATCGGCGGAACGTGGGCGTTCCTCTGTCCAAGTTGCAGAACTCAGCCAAAGAAACCAGTTTTTAAAACGTGACTGAAGATTGTCCCCGTATCATAGGAGAAACCCCATAAAAATAGCCCGACCAGAACCCGTTTTGGCATTGGTGCGACGCGACGCAAGAAAATGTACGGGTTATTTTAAGTTACGTCGTAGTTTCTAGACGCAGTAGCAAATAAGAATACGAGCTGCCCCAGATTCCATGCGTCTAACGGCCAGTTTGTCCGATTTGGAGGTTGAATTCTTGCTTCGCCAAAATGACGGGCATCGAATTATGGCGTCGCGTTATCGAATCGAAACACTCGGCATTCTTGGCGATGTTAAAATTAAAATTACTGCGTATATCGTCGACACCCAGATCTGGTAATGATTACCATGGATGGTTCTATCATTCTACAAAACAAACTTGATAAAACAGGCTTTAAGCCTAATACACGAGGAAGAAGAATTTCGCTAGCCAAATTATTGTCTAAAACTTCAAGTTCTTCTACTTAATTTGTTTATTTAATACAAAGTCTATTTAATACAAATCTTTTTTATTTGAACAATTTGAAGGAACGTTTATAAGAAAGCTGTTGCACCAACTTAATATTATTTTGAGCTCGAGTGATCCAGTTGTCGTATTTTAATTATCAACATATTCTTTTATTTCGAAATTTTTATGCATTTGTAATGAATATACCCAGCTCCGTAAAGACAAGTATATGCGGAACACGTCCGTAACGATGCTATTTTTACACGCCGACATAACTGTCGGTGATACGGATAAGACACTCAAGAGGTTGCATAAACTCTATCATCCGGAAGTGACATGATAGACTAAACATATCCTGCTTATACTAATAGAAATATTCTTTCTCTTTCTTTAACCTCGCCTGTCGCGCTTCTTAGTTGTTCTACTACTCTAATCCCTTTACAATGAAAATATCAAGTCCGTTATTATACAATCTTGTATTTCTTCTTTAATGAAGAATTAAAATAAAAATTTCAGCTGAAACATAACACTCGATGATCTGAAGTGCCACAGGCTGTTTTCTCGGGTATCTTTATGGATAACATTTATCTCGTGATTTTAAAGCATGGTGTGACTTTACGGAACAAATAGCTACCGGAAGATGGCTTCATCTTCTAAATGGAAACATGAATTGTCATTCCCTCTTCCTCCCTTCCCGTGCCCTCATATTTCAATATCTCGTTGTAACATCGCAGCTTCCATCACCGCAATTAAATCGTATCCGTCGTTTCTGGAATCATATCGGCGGAAAGGATCGTTACGTATACACAATGTAACAGTATCGCCGTGAGATATTACCATTCCCATTTCCTTTTTTTCCTGCCTTCGTCTCCTGAAAATTCTATACAATTTAGCGCTCTGCATTGAATTACGATCGACGAAAGATCTCATCTCAGCTCCGAGTATCGTCAATATTATCGAAGAAAAATAATGTTCGATGAAGCAAATATCTTCTTCGTCATCCATGTAGTTTAAGTGTTCTCTATTGACTTGCACAGTCGTTATACCAAGTGTTCTCCAGAATGCATACATCGTTAGTAAGCGTCGTATTTGATGAACGTTTTAAAACTTAAAATGTTGAAACATATGTAATCTTAGCAGAAAAAAAAGTTGAAATGGGAATTGTTTTCGGAAACCACGAGTCATATAATTTTTCTTATTTACAAGTTGCGGGAGGGAAAGGGAGAAATAGAACAAAGGTTTACAATAGCGGTCGTTGTCGGAAGTGCAACAGTTTAATGACACGTGAGAAATTCTCACAATCGCCCGTCCACGCTTCACTGCATACGTAAACGCGATGCTAGGGATGTTTCTTCCTGTCTTGCGTGATGCCTTGCCATCCATCGATGGCCACAGACCGGTAATCTCGAAACCGTCGGCGAATCGAAAATCGGTCATTTCCTCGCGAAGCAAACTCAAAATTATCTGTTAACCATCATCAGCGCAAATATATGTAATGCTCTGTTATAATTTATCACATTACCGACATCAAAGAAATTTATCTAGGCGTCTGGTTTATATTTCTAGCTTTTGGATTTCCTCATAATCGCGAAATCAATAAAAGTCGAACGATCATAGATTGAAATCTTTTTGCAAACTATATCATAAATCATATAATTTCCGTCGGATGCGGCAATGAGAGTCGCACTGTGCGACCTCCTTGCCGGTCATGTTCTGATGCTTTTTCAATTTTGCGGGATATAGATTTCGAAAATTTAAATTCTTGGAATTTTTGACAGTGCGACTTCCTCGCCGATCATGTTCTCCTGATACTTTTTCATTTTTGATAGTGCGAGTTGCACTCCAAGAATTTAAATTTCCGAAATCTATATCTCATTAAATCGAAAAAGCATCAGGAGAACATGACCGGCGAGGAGGTCGCACTATCAAAGTTCTAACAATTTCATTCTCAAGAATTTGAATTTCCAAACTCTATATCCCGCAAAATCGGAAGAACATGACCGGCGAGGAGGTCGCACTATCAAAGATTCCACGAATTTGATTAATACTCCAAAGAATTTAAAATGTAGAATAGACACTTTTTATTCTCATCTTTTCTTCTCTCTCAATATAACTGCTAAACTAATCTCATCATTCTCTCTGTAGTTATCTTTTTTTTGACATTTTCTTGTATTTCATAACTCGTATCAAAGTTTCATCTTGCGCTTAAAGAGTTCGGGGAAGAAACTTGTTTCGTCCCGGAGAGTATCGTTTTGTTGAGTAATTGAAACGCGACGATCTGACACGCTTGATCGCACCTATACATTGCGGGCTATATATTAAACGCATCCGCGACGATAACACACAATTGAAGAGTCGTTAAGAAGAATCAAAACTCGACGTGGTCAATGGATCGGCCAATGGCACACGCATTTCGGTCCGAACGTAATATAACGAACGTGTCGTAACTCACAGTGCCACTAACTGTTACGACCATCGTGATCGTACGTAGGATGCGATAAACCCTTCGTAACGACAATATATGTGGATCGTGCTAACAAGACTCGCCTACATTCTACGATTGTACATTCTAGAGCAAACGCAGCTCGCTATAATCAGAAATAGTTTTGGATTGACAAATACTTTTTTATTATTCAAACTTTTATAGAAGAACTAGCTAACGCGCGCGCTTTTACGGTCTTTACTTTTTCTCCTGTACATATATATAACAAATAATTATACAAAAATACGCAAAACGTAGCAACAGTCACGGAACAAAGTAATGTACAATAAAATATTAAGTACGGAATTTTCCATTACGTAGGCAGGCCAACGAATTCTCAACGTTTTTTTGTTGTTTTTCACTCGGCGCGGTATCGTGCGACGATTAAAGGCCTTCACACATAAAATTCCGTAAGGACGTAAAACGTAAGCGTAAGAAAATCAACAGGTTGGATTTGCTACTACTTGCGTCATTGCCTTACGTTCTCGACTGTGATTGGTCGATTTTCTTATGCTTACGTTTTACGTCCTTACGGAATTTTATGTGTGAAGGCCTTAAGCGGGCCAACGAATTCTCAACGTTTTTTTTGTTGTTTTCCACTCGGCGCGGTGACGTATGATGTTTTTGCGTGCCATCGTGTACCTGAAGGTCGCTGCGTCTCACTCGCTCGCCGAACGTCGAGCCGGCAGGCAGTGGCGAGAGTCGCCCCGTGCGTGCTATTACTTTTGCGTTATCGGTTTCCAAGACTCGATCGCGACGAATGTAGGGATAAAACGCTATCAATTTGTACACCTTTATCAGTAACGAGTAACTGAGAAACGAATTGCGTGTTGAGGCGACGGCTCTTTATCAACGTACATAGGTATTTCACGAGACTAACTCATCTAAAATATGAATGTGAACCGTGGTACTTTGTCGCGGTTACATCACGTTTACGCACCGCGCTTTTAATTATCTATCGATTTCGTGTAATCCGTTCTATTTTCGGGAAAAGAGAGAAACTTGTGCGTGAAATTTGTGTGTGATTTCGACGTTCGCGCTGTAATTCGCTCTGTCGTTTTTCAATATTTCGTGCGTTTCGCGGTATCTCACATCGCGTACGGGAGTGCCGAAATTTCGCGCGATCGATGATTTTCGCGAGTTAGTGTTGTGTAAGTGCAACAAGGAAATCTGAGAGGAGGAGGAGGCCGAGGAGGCATCGGGCAACAGCGGAGAAATCGGTGAGGTGAGATTTATATATTTGTATTTATATTAATAATATATTGAAAAATCATATAAACGAAATTAAGCAAGAAACAATTTGCAAGTCGAATAATGTACAATTATCAATTTGCACGTCTAAAATTTTAATTGAGGATTTAAGAGAAATAATATAAGACAGTTCTCTTGCGTATATGACATGTCAAAATTTATCATTTATTGGGTGAACGATGTCTTAAAATTAAGTAATTACAATTTAAAACGAAACGAAAAACAAACGTTTCCTTCGAACGGTTTTTGTAAGGTCGAGGCTCCATTGAGAGCCGTTTATATGAATAGCATTCAGGATCGATTTTCTTGTCGAAAAGTAATACATGATTTCGGCGCGAATTTTCTAACGCTAAACATGCCGACACGCCAAAAGGGTTTTCAGGCCAGCGAGCGACATAATGACACGAGCGCGACGCAAGTGTCGTCTTGTCGTCATCGGTGCGTTTGCCACCAGCAAACCGTTACCGTCATGAAATGAGTCTCTCCTCTTCCATTTTCTCTCGGAGTATGAAATTGCAAAAAGGCAGGCAAAGAGCGAGACGTAGAACACAAATTGTGCGAGAAGGGCAGCAACAGCGACGGGCAAAGACCTCTCGTCTGTTCTGTTTCTCTGAAAATCCATTCCTTCGCGAGTGTCGCGGTTTTCGGTGAAAGCGACCATTGTTCGTCCCATGTGTCTTCTTTCCGAGAAAAGGAATAAAGTGAACACGAGAATTCCTGGCCTTGCACCAGAACGTAAACGGATCCGGACAATTGTGTGTTACATGTTGGGGATAGATTTAAAACACCGCCATGTGCGACTTCGCGTCCAGAGATAAAAGTCACTTTAATAAGTCGCGATAAGCCAAATTAATTTTCGTATTACATTAAAAGCTACGATGCATCGCAGAAATTGTTCTATTATAATATTAATCTAATTAAAAAATATTTTTATCTATTTTTTATTTATATTTCTTTCTGACAATTTCTCGTGATATTTTTTTAATTTGCGAATGTTGAGCTCAAATTTTAATGTGATTGTAACGCAATATCACACGTTTAATTTGTGGGTGCTGGCTAATACGCGTGCATATTACAGTAGAATGTAACATATATTTTTAATTTAGCGTATATTAATTAATTTAATCTACTCACATCTACTCACACATTACGCGCGGTACATTTTTCGGTCTCGATCCTCTTCAAGGATTGAAAACCGCTCCCGATGAAGACGTTTTGCGCAGCGAAAAGGGCGGCGACTCGCCGAGAGGAATGGGACGATGGTTTTTGCGTCAGTCGCGCGGTGCTTACGTAAACGCAAGGACGTGACCGCGTGGTCGCGGAGGAAACGACAGGCGACTTTTCAAGCCTGGCACACCTGTCGCCGACGGTCTCCTTCGTCGAGGAAATATCCGCGCGATACGTCAGCAACACGCTCCGATGACTTTTCCGACGCGCAATCGCGCTCGTTAGCGCGCGCGAAAATTATTATCACGTTCGTACCGGCTAAATAGATGAATGCCGGTAGATAAGCGCGAATTACGAGGTAACGCAACGCTGAACTTTGGCAGGGTATTGTAACTTGATGCAACAATTAATTTCTGACAAACGCAAGTGGAGAGTTAAGAGAATGAGGAAAATATATTTGGAAATAGAAGTTCTTTCTTCACTATTATAAATGGACAATGATAGACGCATCTGATAACACTTTGATGATAAAACATTTTGCTTTGCTACGATAGAGAGCATCACACGCTGAAAGTAAATATTCACTACCGATATCTTTAGTTTTGTCCTTATTAGATGAACTAATCATCGATCACGATGAAAATCTAGATGGACAATGACGTGACAAGTATACGCCAATCAGATTCATAAAAATTTATAACAGTTGTAAAGCAGCTTTTTCTGCTGGATGCAGCTCTTTCTAGATTCGCGATTCACACATGAAATTTGTTCGTCCAAAGATCAAAGCGCTAGCGTTGGCTGCTTCTAACAATTAAAATCGCGAGACAATTTTCCTTTTCTAACCTTCGAACCCTTGGCCGTGAACAACCAATTCACAAATCCCGTTTCCTTCAGTTATACACTGAAGTTCAGAGTTTATTCGTACTTACGATCATTTCAACTGCCAAAATCTTAAATTGTTCAATATCTGTAGTTGCACAGATTTAGTTTCCTGTTCATTCTCACAGCCAAGATTGATCCTTGCGAAAGCTTTATCACGGAATTTCATACAGACGGGTAGGCTATTACCGTTAAACTAGACGCAATGTGTCACAATTATCGCACTAATAATTGCTCGATTGACGTATCATTTGTGATTACGTCGCACGATTGGCGCGGATAGTACTAGAGTATTTCTCGCGGTGTTGCACAACTACGATGACGAACATAAACTTCGATCCGTTCAATGGAGTCCGCGATATAACTCACAATCAGTAAGTGTGCATTGAATCTAACAAATACATACATACGTTAATTAGACGTACATAATAAATTAAAAGCCACGTAAGTCAAATATATATGTTAAAAATTTTCTTAAATAATAAGTGAACAATGGTACGACTCAAGTTGCGCGTTTAGATTTAATCGGCGCGTTTTATCAGTCCGACAATTAGATCCGTATTTAATAGATCCTTTCGAAATCTCTGTGTAGCAATCGCGCTCCCGGCGGTAATTAGCTTTCTATTTATCGGTACAGTTCGCGAGAACGCTAATGAATACGGCAGAAAAGACGGCTCGGACGTCCCGTGATTCGTTCTAACACGGAGGCGAGACACCGTCTTTCTTTCTTCGTTCAAGAGCCAGCAAACGGTACATTTGCCCCAATTAATCGGACAACGGAATTGTGAGAGAAATGCAAATGACGTTCTCGTGCCTGAAATTAATCGGCAACTACAATGAAATCGCCCTTACTCAAGAATAATTCCTAATTGGAATAATTGCTTCAATGAGCAAAAAAAAAGTGTACGATATATTTAAGCGTAAGCGTATTGCGTTATAATGATATAACATCAAGCTGTGCATATTTGTTACAATAACTATAAAACTGCAATAAGAGTAAGACTAATTTCAATAAAACTTACGAATGATCAAATCAGCCATATCTATGCTGAACGTTGCTTAGCGAGTGGACCAAAATGAGAAAATGTTTTTTCAGCCTCTTCTCTTGCTTTTCTTTCCACTCTTCTGCTTTTTTTCCCATTTAGATTGCAATAGAAAAATGGATAGAGATTACAATAGAAATGGAAGAGAGAAGAAGCTGAAAAAACATTTTCTCATTACGTAGTTGAACTACCTTGACGCTCCGCATGTTACGTAATTGGTTTGATTAATCGTACTTTTAAAACTCAATATATTCGTAGTGTACATAACGTACATTCATCAAAATGTACATTCATACGTATATGTGTCGATATATTCGACCACCCTAGAATAAATTCTTCCAAGGAAGTTTTTATGCATATCTTGATTATCATCACAACGTATATACATTTGTGCCTTTAAGTATCGCGATTACAAGAAATTTCTATGCAAACGTGTGCACGAGATAATTAATTTTTCTCTCTCGCCTTCGTTGTAATTGCGTTAATCGGTCCTGGTCCTCCGGTTGAAATTCATTACGTCTTGGCCGTGCTTGCGTTGTAGCGTCGATCGCGCTGCCGTTTGCGCTGGTGTCCATGTGGCGCACCGGTCGTGTAAATATTTGTGCGACTAATTTATCCTCGCGCGAGCAACTTCTGAATTCGTCGAAATACCGAACACGATGGAAGCCAGAGACCCGCGTCTGCCCGGCAAGAAATATAAGCCGAGTCGTCACGGCGAATTTCCGTCCACGGCGAGAGCGGTGAAAGCCGAGAAATGGACCGCAAAACGTTTCTTCGCTCGCAAAACAGTTAATATTTAAATGAATCATCCCGAAGAATTGTTCTTTCTGGAAGTCTCGACTCTCTTACTATTACATTTACCTGAGAAAGTTGTCGACGAGATATGCGAAAATAAATACGTATCTGAATAAAATTACGTTAATTATAACAATAAAAGTTAACAAAATTGTAACAAGGTGACAAAGAACTACGTACTCTATAATAATTTACGTAGCTCCTACATCAGTCTATACATTTTTTTTGGTACACGACAATAAGATTATTCGCTAGTGTTGTGCGTAAATTTGTAATTTTTAAATTCCTCCTAGGAAACATAAATATGTCAAAAATAAGGAAGTTCGTTAATTCGTAGACTTATAATAGCGGCGGATAGTAACAGGCACGAGAGAATTGCAAGCAAGATTCGCTCAATGAGCAGATAGCAACGAAAAAAAAAAACGGAATTGTAAGCAGGATTCGCTCGACGAGCAAACACATCGTAATGTGAACGATGATGCTAGCTACTTTGCATCGCGGTATACGTAGCCGATCACCAACGGCACGTGGTAACAACGACATCGTAAACTCAAGATCGTGCGGAGAATAAAATTGCGAGAATAAAATTACAATTTTTCCTCAAAATATGCCTCGGAGGATATTAAAATCGCAGCCCCCCTGAGTTTCGCAGCAATTTAAACGTTGCATAAATTATGTTAAATTGCTCACGTCATAAAAAAAGAAAAGGCATTTTTCAGATGCCCTTGGATACACGTGGTGCCTAAAAAGTGCACTGAAAAAAATTTCTGGTTGAATATGGACGAATCAGATAATTCGTTTAGGATTTACCAGAATTCCTTTAGGATTTACCAGAATTCCTGTAATCCTACAGAAATTCTGGTAAATCCTAAAGGAATTCTGGTAAATCCTAAAGGAATTATCTGATTCTCGTCCATATTCAACCAGAAATTTTTTTCAGTGTGACGACAAGGCAGCGCCTTGTTGCTTCACTTTTCTTTGATAAATCAAATTTTCCTTTGTCGTTCGCGCTGACGAGACCTCTCCATTTAATTCCCGTAGATCATTCGTCCTATTGAAGCGAGCAATGTATTGCAAGGTACGCAATTCCGTTCGGTCAATCGCTGAAAGACCTTTTACCATTAACGAGGTCGATGGGGTGATACCAACCGCCAGCGTTCTTCGGCGTTTGAATTGCTCGCAGAGAAGACCTCTCGACTCGATCGCATTATTGATTTAAACCTTTATCTTTGCGCGGTATTCAAAGTTATCACGAATGATTTTCGCTGCGTATAACAAATAAGAAGAAGTAGAAATATTAGAGTCAGAGCGCAAAGCAGCGTAATAGCTTACGACAAAGACGTAAGCGTAAACGTAGATTAGCGTACAAGCCTTGGCGTGTGTCGTACTTACGTCCAATTACATGTGATGTTACGTTTACGTCAAAGCCTGTGCGCTATTACGTTACTTTGTGCTCTGACCCTTGGTAACATATCAGGACGTGCTGCGGTGAAGAAAATGGAATATTTTCTATACAATATTTAGTAAGACGATTCGAAATTTCAACGTTTACAACGTCCTTGCAAAATCAGGTGTACAATCAAGAGTGTTATAAGCAATTAGACATTAAATATATAGCGTACATAATTCCGTATTGTGCTAGGTTGCTGCAGATAAAATACAATTTAGTTTCGGAATTGTGCGCGAGAATTGCACGAAGTGCATTTAATGCATGTACATCGTTTAATTACCTAACCATCGAGGCAAAAAAACAGTAATAGTAGACAATCACGTATCTAATAATCTGTTACAAGAGCACGGCAGTGACTTCCAACAATGTTCGACAATGACTTTAGAGCTCGAAAATTTATTAGCGATCTAAACTTTTGTCCCTTACATCGGTCTTCAGCTCTCGAAGCTAGCCCGAATTATTTTTATATTATCAATATGCAGTAGACAATTAGTTACGAGCGAATGATTAATTCCCGACGTTATTAAATGAAATTTAGCAACTGAAATTAGACAAATATATTTTAGTCCTCTAATCGACGTGCCGAAATTGTTGAAGTTAATTCGAATTGCATGACTTAAATTAATCAGCCTCGTGTTTCGCCGGATAATTTAACATTCCCGCAGTGAAAATATCAATATTCCGCGTCTTATTTTAAAGACGCGTCTACAATGCACGCGATCTATTCTCGGCGCGGTCGGCGCAACGTGTCTGGTCGGACACAATCTAATAACGTTGAGAATGAATTGAGCCAATCGCCCATATCGGAGCCGGTACATTAATAAAAGCTGCACATCGCGAGAGTCTCGCGGCGCGCGACGAAGATGCACTTCGCGAGTCGCGCGCGGCGCCAGAACCACTTATTCTCCTCGCTATAGACGTCAAAAGAACGCCGGTGTAATAATTAACAAGAAAACCGTCGGATTATTTGTTGTCCTGCCAGCAACTTGTCGTTTATCGCTTACAATCGTGCTACATAGTCGAGTGAGCGTCATGTTTTCTTGCTAGAGATATTTCACTGAAGAGCCGCAAAATAGTACACGCACGAAGTTTAAAATGTGGTGATTCAAAAAAATAAATTTCAAAGAAATTAAATATTCCAACGGATAAGCAGTCCAAAGTAGCTGTAAAATATACACTTGAAAAACGTGAAATTGTCCTAATGAAAAGAATAATACTGCGAAGTTTCGGTGGGCAAGTGATGTTCCAACGTAAATGCGACGATCCTTATAGCACTTTAACGTAAACGCGGTGGCGATAAATCGTCAGCGAAAATGCCTCCGTGAAGGGACAGAAGGGCCCCCCGGTATTGTACGTGCAGCAGCGTCTGCTGCTTCCGGCGTATAGCGACACACGCGATGATCACCACCTACGCGTGACCAGACGAGACGCGTGCACACGTGCGTGCATGCGTGCGTGCGCGCGTACACGCGCTAAGCGCGCGCGCGCGCATGTAAAGACGCCGATCTTACGCGCGCTCGTCGGCTCGGCTCGGCTCGGCTCGAGTGCAACGAACTCACAATTTCGCGCCCGTGGCTGCATTCTTCCAGCGCAATCGCGACGCGCGAATTGCCATCCGATTGCAGTGTCTTTAACCCTTTTATCTGCGCGAACCTTTTTCTCGAAATAGAAAAAAACGTTCTCTCGAATTGAAATAACGGAAAATTCGGACAAGAGTGTCGCGAGTATTTCAACATTTCGGTCTATGT